CGCGATCACCGTCCGATCGGTAAAGAAGCCTTCGAGCTCACCATTGAGCAAGCCATCCTCGCCAAGTACAATGCAAAGAAGCGGATGCTCGAAGCTCTTGATAAGATCAAGGAGTACGTCGAAACGTTCTAAAATAATTACTTGAGTAAACAATAAGTTTTATTGAGTAAGTCTTGAAACATTTGTGCTTTTGTTCTTGTTTGAACAACCATATTTAACATTAGATAAAAAATTTTTTGGTTAAACAATAACATACTTAAGACATAAATTATACCTACTTATTAACTCAGTATATTGTGCATTATATGCATACTTAAACTCTTGAGCAATATTGTTCTCATCAATGATTCTGATCTGAGCTATTTTTGAGAAAGGTGGTGGAATACCACAACATGTGATGTCTGGGTCCAGTAGGTCTATTTCACACTTGAACCCAGTCATTCTGTGAACAACTTCTTCCAAGTCTGGCTTAGGTAGTAAGATCTGATCTTTGCTCACTAAGTTAGAAAAGAGCTCTTTGTCTTGGTCTAGAAGTATCTTCTGGTATATACTAAGTAAATACTCTTCTACACCAATCCTCGATGAAGTCTCCACAGATCTCGATGAGGTCAGGTTGGAAGTTAATGGACTTAAAGGAGGAGGATACATTGGTGCTTCTGAGTTCGTAGTTGTTTCCTCTTTTTTTATCTCTGTTGGAGCATCACTTACTGTACCAGATGGATAGTTCTTTATCACAATGTTATTAGTTGTTCTTGAATCAACATTGCTTGTTGGTTCAATTGGAAGATTAGCTGCACCATAAAGAATTGACTTCGATCTCATTTGTTATGAGTAAAAATTGTTTTATTCTCATATAAATGACGAACATTAACCCAGAGAACAACACAGAATATACTGCAACAGGAGTTGTTTACAATGATCTAGATCAGATCGTCCAACTCAAAGCCCCAAGAGGAAGGAATTTAATAAGACAACCTCCACCAAAGATATATGTTGATGATGGTAGTAATGGGTTCAACTTAGTGTATCATTACTCATATCCTCAATATGCAAAAATTGGGTCTACCCCAAACGTGACAAACCATTATATGAACCTTTATGATGAAGCAAGGTTTCATGCACCAACGAAGAAAGAACCTGATGCATCAAGATTACATGAATTCGCAGACCATGATGGTTATAGCGATTACTCAATGCCTGTAAGACTTTAACGTTAATAAAAAAATGACTGTTGGTAAACAAGAAAAAACTTTAATACAAGAGGATTTGATGCTACCAATATATTCAACTGATATGGGAGCTTATCAATTCGATACATTTGAGAATCCTGGTGGAACACCACCATATTTTCTTTTGTTCATCAATGTAAACAGTAGAAAAGGTTATGCGTTCCCAATGAGTGAAAAGAACTCAAACAATGTTCTAAGTGCAATGCAGAAGTTCATTTCACAAGCTACAGGTGAAATGAAGCCTACAATACTTACTAGTGATGAAGACCCAGCTTATACGACACAAAATGTTCGAGATCTGTTGGTCAGTCATAACATTGAGCACATGACGACACAGAAATACAATCATAACATACTAGGTATTATTAATAGGTTCTGTAGAACTATTAGAACTATGTTACATATGAAGTTAAACCTCAAAGAAGGTGATAAAACACCACCTTTCACTGCAGATACAATGAGACAAATTATTAATGACTACAACACTGAATATCATTCAAGCACACAACAAAAGCCTGATGATTTCACAGAAAAGGATAATGAGGAATATATAAAGAAGCAAAGATTGAAAGAAGAGTATGTCAGAAAAAATAACCTTTATAACTTAAGACCTGGTCAAAAAGTTCAAGTCATAGTTGAACCAAGAACATGGGGTAAAGGTAACCAACAAAGAAGACATCTTGATCCTTCTTATTATACAGTTGATTCAGTTGATACAAGTGCATACTTGTTAAGAGCAAAAGATGGAAGTGTTGCAAGATATCCACGTTATCAGATATGGACAAAAATAGAGCATGGATTAAAGCAAGGAGAAACTTTAGATCAAGGAAGACACGGTGCTGTTAAAAGTATTGATGGTCATGAACTTGTCGGTAATGATGTAAAGTATGATGTTACGTTTGAGAACGAAAATACAGGAAAAGTGACAGGTAGAGGTATGCGTGAAGGTAATCCAAACAGGTTGTCACAAATGGAAGTACAGTATTGGAGGAAAAATATTAATGAAGGTCATGTTAAAGATATGCCTAGTTTTCTTGAGAAGTATCGTGGGTTTCGAGTTTAGCTTGTAAGTCCTTTATTTTTGTTTCATACAATGAGATCTTCCTTCTGATCTGTTCATCATTGAGAGGTTGCTTGACTTTACGGAACTGTACACGTCCGTCTTTCATTGTATGTACATAATATCCATCAGGAACCTTACCATCTTTTATATATTCAGTTAACCACTTTTGTTTAGTTGATGCTTTAATGACTTGACTCATTTCTTACTGGATAAATTTTTATGTTTTTTATCTTTTGACGATTTTTTCTTATCCTTATCTTTCTTCTTGTCCTTGTCCTTCTTTGATTTATCCTTCTTCTTGTCCTTGTCCTTCTTGGACTTCTCTGCTGCAGGTGGTGTTGGATTCTGTTTGACTTTAGCACTTGGGTCAGGACCTTGTCTTTGAGACTTAGATATAGATTGTTTAGGAGCTGCTGCTTGTTTAGTTGCTTCAGCTTGTTGTTTAGCTAATTCAGCAGCTTGTTTATCATTCTCTTCTATTTCCTTTGCACCAGTTGCGACTTCATTCTTGAACTTTTGGAGATTCTCAGCAGCATCCATTACCTTATTCGCTCCTTTAAACAATCCATAAAATTTCTGCCATGGTGATACTGAAGGTATATTTCCACCAATTGCTGGAGGAACTGATGCTTCAGGAGTTGGAGATGGTGTTTTGTCTGAATTGAGATGCTTTTCTGCTTCAAGAACTTGTGTAGTATTTTTCTCCAGGTATGCTTTTGCAACCTCCTTAACTTCTGGACGTTCATTATTTACATCCTGTCTTGGTGTTGATGTTTCAGTAGCGTTTTCCTGAGTTACATTAACAACAGGTTGCTCAACTGCTGAAACATTAGCTGCTTCAGTAATGTTATGAGTAGTTGAAACATTTCCTGATATACCTTCTCCTGTTGGAACTCTTGGAGCAATTGTTGTGATGTTCGCCATTGCAGGAGTTGGAGTAGGAGTGTCATCAATCTTTCTGTCAGCTTTCGTCGTTTGCGTTGTAGTATTTGTTGTTTCATTACCATATTTTGATCTTAGTCTGGTAAGCTCTAACTTCATATGTTCTTCAGGATATGCATACTTATTATATTCACCCTTAATATTCTTTTTCCATTCATCGTATTTATCTTCTGCTGATTTCTTAATTGATGCTAGTCCGTTTACAGCCAATTCATCAGTACCGTTATCAGTAGTCTGGTTATATAAAAGATTAGCAGCTGATCTAATTGTGTAATCCGTAAGATTACCAAAACGCTCTATTGTACCTAATGTTGTGTTCTTCAGTTCCTTTCCAATTCCTTGTGCAGCATCTTTGACTAAATCAGCACCCCATGCACCAAATTGTCTCACAGGAGCCGCTATTGATGGTGAAGGAGATGGAGATGGCGATGGAGTTGGTGATGGTGAAGGAGATGGAGATGGTGAAGGAGATGGAGTTGGCGATGGTGTTGCTGCTTTCGCCTTTCTATCAGCTTCTTCCTTAGCCTTTCTATCTGCTTCTTCTTTCGCCTTTCTATCTGCTTCTTCCTTAGCCTTACGAGCTTTTTCTTTCTTCTTAAGTTCCTCTAGTTCTTTACGTTCAGCTTCTTCTTTCGCCTTTCGTTCAGCTTCTTCCTTAGCCTTACGAGCTTTTTCTTTCTTCTTAAGCTCCTCTAGTTCTTTACGTTCAGCTTCTTCTTTCGCCTTTCGTTCAGCTTCTTCCTTAGCCTTACGAGCTTTTTCTTTCTTCTTAAGCTCCTCTAGTTCTTTACGTTCAGCTTCTTCTTTCGCCTTTCGTTCAGCTTCTTCCTTAGCCTTACGAGCTTTTTCTTTCTTCTTAAGTTCCTCTAGTTCTTTACGTTCAGCTTCTTCTTTCGCCTTTCGTTCAGCTTCTTCCTTAGCCTTACGAGCTTTTTCTTTCTTCTTAAGCTCCTCTAGTTCTTTACGTTCAGCTTCTTCTTTCGCCTTTCGTTCAGCTTCTTCCTTAGCCTTACGAGCTTTTTCTTCTTCTTAAGCTCCTCTAGTTCTTTACGTTCAGCTTCTTCTTTCGCCTTTCGTTCAGCTTCTTCCTTAGCCTTACGAGCTTTTTCTTCATAATATTTTGTATACTTATCATCAGCCCAATTACCAAGTGATTTGGCACCTGTTAGTATTCCATTTGCGGTTGATGTTGCTGTTCTTCCGAGCCATCCCCCTACCGCTGAAGCACCATTGCCAATAGCACTACCAGCATTTAAAATTCCACGACCAATCCATATCCCTGGTTTTGCCTTTGTATTAAGAGTAAGAAATTCTTCCTTCCTATCTTCAGGTGTAGGATTTGTAACAGTTCTTACAGTATCAACAACAGTGTCAACACTGGTTCCAATAGCACTACCAACAGCTGTTGCACCAGTTAGAATACCATGGGTAACTAAATCAGTAGCTCTTGAGACAACATTATCACTCGAGGCTTTCTCTGCTGGATAGTTTGATCCTTTGTAAGTTCCTGGACCACCTCTATTTGAAGCTTCTCCTTCAACTATTTTCTTCTCTTCTTGTGCTTGTTCTCTGGCAACACTCAATGCACGTTCTTGTCTTTGAATGTTGTCTTTCTTTAACATGTAACCACCAAGTGTCTGTGGTGGTGTGTTTTTATCTAGTGCAGCATCAATTGCAGCCTTTTCTTTTCGCTTTTCTTCGTCTAACCAATTTTGAATAGATTCTGCATCAGTTGGTTCAGCTGGAGTTGGAGACGGTGTTGGAGCTTTAGTTGGTGTTGGAGACGGTGTCGGAGCTTTAGTCGGAGTTGGAGATGGAGTAGGTGCTTTTGTAGGTGTCGGTGATGGAGTTGGAGATGGAGTTGGAGGTACTGTTGGTTCTGGAGTTGGTTCAACAGTCGGTGAAGGTGTTGGCGCCTTTGTGATTCTTGGAGTTGGCTCTGGTGTTCTAATAGGGGAAGCAGTTGGTGTATTAGCTCTTTTAAGAACCTGTGATCTTTCCGCTTGATTTGAATCAGATACTGGGTTAGTTGTACTAGGATGTGATACAGGAGTTATTTTTGGTGTAGGTGTTGGTTTATTTAATGTTATACCATGACTACTCGACATTGGTGGAGGACCTGCGTGAGCAGTTGGTGTCAGAGTTGGCGTTGGAGCTACTGTAGGAGTTGGCGTTGGAGCTACTGTTGGTTCAGGAGTGGGAGTTGGTGTTGGAGCTACTGTAGGAGTAGGTGTAGGAGTTGGTGTTGGAGTCGACATTTGTTTTAACCTCTCATTATACCAATTCTCCAAATAATAAGCCTCACCCATTAAGTTACTCTGTCTTTGTTTTATAGAAAATTCACCTAACAGTAATTCATCATGAATCATTTTCTGCAGCTTTGTCGTGTTTTCTACTTCCTTTATTAGAACGCTCGATGTATTCGCCAATCCTCTATATTCCTTAATCATCTTATCTAGTTTGTTCATATTTGGTACTTCCTTTTTCTTCTCAGCGTTAATCTCATTAGATCGTTTCTCCAATTCTTCAACTACTTTGTAAAGCTTATTTATCTTGACATGTGATTCCTTTACTTCTCCAGTCCTTGGATCCTTAGGTTCCTTGTATTTAGCTAATTTCGTCTCTATATATCTTCGTTTAGCGTCATATCCAGGATCACTGGTTCGTAAAGGATGCGAAGGTGGACGAAAATAAGGTATGTAGAAATCTGGATCATCATTAATAGAAGAACGTGCTTTAAAGTTACGAACCGCGTCTGTAAAAGGGTCTCTACCACGTGCTGTATATGTTGATGTAATCAAAAAGCCTTCTCTTCTCATTGGGAAATTAATACGACCTTTTTGAACATATTCTTTCTCAAAGTATTGCCTAGCATTGTAATCAAAAGCAAGATCATTATATATATCGCGCAAAAAATCAAATGTATGCTGCTTGAACTTTTGATCGCTAATTATGGTACGAATTATCGGACGTTCATTCTCCCATTTCTTAACTCGTTCATCAATGAGTTTCCTCTCTTGTTCACTCATTTAAACCTCATAAAAATATATTATCTGCGTATAGTGCCACTAATAGCATTAATCCATGGCATGTCTGATAGTACACGTACTGACTGAACTAATGGCTTATGATTGTTCCAAATAGCTCCTCCAATGTATGCGTTATACTTATTGTTGTCAATAGTTTGTTGAGGTTGAACTATAGGTGTTTCAACAGGCTTGTCTCTACTGAAGTCACCACCAAGAGCTTTATTGAATGCTTTAAGATTCTTCGTTAATGCATTATCTTCACCTAATGTAGTTTTTGCAATTCTTTCACCAAGACTACCGATAACACCACCGACTTGACCAACTTGAGGGAAAAGTTTGTTAGCAATGTTAAATCCAGCACCTATTACAAGACCAGGATTTTTTTTCACCATACCCCATCCAGCTTTAACATAATCGCCAAAACCCATTTATTTCTTCTTAAAATAATGTCATCTTTTGTTGCTTAACTTCTTTAAAGTCCGTCTTTCCTGCAACTATATGAACTTCCATATATGAACGAGGTGTTGGTAGCTCTTTGTATTTGTTCCATAACTCTTCCCAATCTTCTGTTGCTCCTGACTGTTCAATCATTGACTGAAAGTCTCTCATAGAATAACCTTGAAAGATAACGAAGTCAGTGCATAGTCTCTTAATGTTTAAACATATATGTCTCCATGTTTGACACATGATGACAACAGTATAGTTATAATGTCTGACCTTAGTGATGAAGTTCGCTAATGGTGAACGTGGGTCATTCAATAAGTCATGACCACCATAATCGTCTAACACTAATAGAGAATTACTGGGATACTTTGTGAAAGGATATTTGTTCAACTTCTTTACAACATATATTGCAATCTTCTTATACTCAAACTTTCCATCAGGTTTCCTTAGTTGATGCTTTGTTAAGATGTGTTCCATCTCCTCTGAAATTTTTTCGAACTTACTTTGAACGAACTCAACAATAGCGTAATACTTTGCTTTCATCTTAACGTTCTTCATTAAATAAGGCATAAGTTCTTTATCATCCTTTTTCAGTACTGGTGCTTTAACTTGACTCATAAATGTCTTCGCTGTTTTATCCATTGTTCCTGATGTTGCTGAGATAACTATTGAGTCATAATATGGAGTATTAGTGAAGCGGTCTGTTATCATTATATGACGAATAACACCATATGTCTTACCTGAACCCATCTTACCGCAGTAGAAATAAACACCATTAGTACAAAATGGATAATCATCAGAAAATGGCATAATGAGTGCATTGTTTAGTTCTTTACTATTCTTACGTGCTCCATCATGAAGAATCTTATCTACTTGATTAATAACTTTCTCCATCTTTTAGTTACATATAAAATGTCTAAATATGATGGATTATACTATGAACATGTTATGAATGATGGCACGATAAGTGGTAATACAGTCTCATATAAATTACCGAGAGACTTCATTGAATATCCTGCGTCAAAAGCTCTTGAGATAAGAAAGATAAGTCTTGAGCATCCAGACTTTGAGTTTCTTGCTATTCCATTAGAAATGACAGATTCATCAAAATCAGTGAAAAAAAGGTTTGACATGAGATATTACATAAAACCCAACATGACTACACAGGAGTTGAATGAAGGTCTTATGGAAAAAATGACTGAGGCAAGTAGAGAATTTGTTGATTGTTACTATGATTCAAATGAAAATAAATTGAATGTATTAAGAAAAGGTACATCACCAATCATAACATTACCTTCATACAGTAGTATAGAAAAAAATGCCTTGAATTATAAATATGACATGTCCCTAGGAGATGTGTTGGATTTCATCACTGCGTTATTAGAAACCACTGAAACAGACACAACATCAAGAAAACCAGAGCTTGTTTGGGAAGATGACCATGGTAGAACATTCACGCAAAAAGTAATTCCATCGAAAGCAAAATTTTTAGACTTATGGGAAAAAAAATATATCTCGCGAATGCATGTATATTATAGTTTTACCATAGCAGATTTCACTGACGAAAATGATAAAGATAAAAAAACATATAAGTACTTTGATGAGCTTTTCATAACTATAGCGAATATCAGGTTTATCCTTGAGCGAAAGGGCAAACCAACATATAAATTTGTCGGTTATCAGATAAGAATAAATCCTCTCCTTGAGCCTTTAGTAACGTTGAGTAATATTGCTCATGATAACAAACAATTTATATGTAATGTGAATGAACAGCTTGTGCCACCAAAATTTTACGATATCACTGGTTATAAAGATGCACTCGTGTTTGAGTTTTATAAGCGCTTTTCATTCAAAAGAGTTGAAGAATCAACTGATGGTCAAAAAAAGGAATATTATGTAAAAGAACCATATGAAATTCCTAAAGACTCTAATATAATGGTTGAACTTATATTAGAGTCTGGTACTCAATCTCAACATAAATAGTTTACGTGACAGAATTTTTTTGACACGTAAAGTTTACATTTTAATGGAAGCGAACAACACAGCTCCTGCTAAGACTCTTGCCATCCAGAAGCCAGAGGTGACTGAGAAACAGTCCTCTGGCGACGAGGAAATATTGATGGGTGGCGAGAGTCCGAAGACCGAGATCAAGATCCCAGATCTCGATCACAAGCAAACGGCAAAGAAAACGGGTCCACGAGCTACTCCTCGAGAGCTACGTTTAATCAAGACCAGCCACAAGTATTTGAAGCAGCTGGAGGAGTCAAACGTAGCTCTCGAGGAACTAAAGCTCAAGCTGGCTGAAAAAGTAGAGGAAGCGAAAGGTAAAGAGCTCTACATCAGCCAGCTTGAGTATAAAGTTGACTCTTATGCCAACGAGATCTGCGATCTTCGATCTCGTCTCAACCGTGTGGGACATGAGTCAGACAGCTGGCATGAAAGGTTCCTTAAGGCTGACACATCCTACCATGAATTAAAGCGCGCCATAAGGAACTTAGCCACTGGCTTCTGATCCCTCCTCTAAACCACGAATAAACACCTAATTTTACTACTATAACTCTTATTTTTACTCATATTACTCACATATATCCTCATATAACTTATAGTTCATTGTCACTCAGATCACGATCTTTGTGATCACGATCAACTTAGGAAAAGAAAAAAGTATAAAAGTTAGTATAATTAATTGTTTAGTCTTAAGTAAGCTTATTGTTCATCAAGGAGTTGATGTAAGCGTTTCTTTGCCTCCGTGATCTGCTTCTTTTATAAGCTTACAGTTAAGCCAACAGCAGAGTCTATTAAATATACTGAGAAACCAGTGTTATGCTTCTTACGTCACGTTTGCCTCTCCATACAGATTAAACAGGTGGGACCACCTATCGTACTTCTCGACGATTATGATTTATCAGCCCCTGCTAGTGAATAAAGGTTAGTTTACATATGAACGTTTATTTTTACACATATATGCGTACATATGCGCGCCCGTATGGTGTCAGTTTTCTGTCACTTTTTTCATTGTGTCGGTGCCTGTAGCTGTAGGCTACAGGCGACGCACAATGTATACTGTACTAAAACCAAATACATATCAATTTCTATCATTGTGACTACTAGTTAAACATACATTTTTAGAATTCAGAAGTGTTTTTACAAAAATTTTTACATTCTTCAGCGCTAACGAAATCTTTGAAGTGAGAAACACGAAGAACAGTCTAAAACAAATACCAAACCATCATCAGAGATTTTGGAGAAAAGATAATCTGCAAATTGTAAAACTCTAATCCAATTTGAAAAAGTAAATTGTTCAAGGTTATAAAGAGATTTCTAATTCTTACAAAACATATAAAAATTTTTTTCTCAATTTTTTTCTTGATGAAAAGTCTTCACCATGATAATAGCCTTCTTATAGACAAAGAATTTGAATTACCAGAACCTTTTCAAGTAAGGAAATTCGAATTTTCCCTGGATCCAATTCCAGAAGAATATCGTTTTCCAAATTTCGATGATTATGTTCATCCAATCTTAGGTCAACCTTATCCAAATAGAAAGTTTATTAGAGATACTATTGTACCAGAGTTTGTTCGATCATACAATGAGATAACGCCTCAAATTTACCAATATACCGATTTAATTCAGCAAGTACAAGAAATTATAAAAGAAGGTTCCTCTCCAAAATTCCTAAAGAACTTCGTTATTAAACCACACTACTTAAATATTGAACCTTATCGAAAATTCAAAGTTTTATTACCGAAATTTGTTCAAATTCGCACTTCGTTAAATGCAATACGTTTATCTATGTTAACAGAGCGTCTTGAATTACTATATTCACTACAAAAACTTCTAAAATATCTTGCAGAACATCCCAGGCTTGTTAGAGTCAAAATATTCAACGCTACACAAAACTGGCGTGCGTTTGAGTTTGATTTCATGCCAGACGTCTTCAGCCAATACATTGCTTTTCGAAATCAGATTGATGATCTCGCTGCTCTTCTTGATTTCATTCCACGTCCGTTTTCATCTGAATCTGCAAACAAATCTCTCTTTGTCAGTCTCATACGTGCCCATATTAGCATGAAAGATCCACTTACAGGCTACATTCCTTACATTGAAAAATTTGAAACAATTGCTCAATTTTTTGAGTCTCCGGAATGTCCATTTAACCTGAAATACATCAAGACAATGAACCAGCACCAGCTTAACAACACAATGCAGCGCATGCACGCAGCTCTTGTAGAGTGGGCAGACATAAAACCAGGAAAAAGATCTCAAAATGAAGTCGTAAAAAGTGTCATCGCGAGAATGCTTTTTGACAAGTTCAGATTGGACCTTAGACCACTTGGATTAGCTAGTGAAGCATTGCAGAAGCATATATCAAGTCTTTCTAGCCTTCCCCTTGAGAAGTTGGATGTTACTAAACAACATTGTACTGAAGAACAATTAAAACTAACTCCAAATGAGTTTTTCAATCAAACTCAGGAAATTCATCAAATTGTTGATTATGTAACACTTTGTTTATTCTGTACTAATCCTGTTGACGCTGCTTTTAACATATACAAGGCGAACATGGCAATAGCTTCTCACTTGGCTTCGATAAATAATGATTTAGTTGAGAAAAGTCAAAAGTTTGATGATATGTTCAAAATTTGGAGAATTGCAATAATTGCAGCACAAATACCTGAACCAGATCAATTATTTGAGTGGCTGTCAATGTATTTGAACTTGGAGGTAATGCCTCCAAAGTTAGCTGCAGCTTGCAAGATCCCGCAAATGGTAATAACTACAATGTTGACGGAATCTCTTGCAATGAAAAATTAGATTTATAATTTATTTGTTTTGTGTTTTTAATTAAAAAATGTTTTATGTAATTTTTTTTCTACCGAAATAGTGAAATATTTTTTATCAATTTAGCATCATGACTGAAAGAGCCCAAGTTCATATAGCTTTTAGTACATTTGCTATAGTTTGTTTAAAGCAAAAGTTGAAAAATTAATTAACATAATTTGAAATAACATATATTTAGATGTCTTCCCTACAGATTTTTGAAATAATGATCGAATCAAACTGATTTCAGAGATATTTCATATAATTCGTCGAAATAATCTTTCCTAATTCTTTCAAAGAAAAAGAGATTTTCCATGTTAAATAATAAAACATCATTTATAAATCTATTTAATTACAAAATATGATTAGTTACTAAGTGAAGATAAGAAATGCGGCAAAGAAACAACATTATCATGAACAAATATCTTATCTCTCTTTCCTTTTGGTACGTGGTAAATCCAGAAAACCATTGAATCGGCTTTATGGACAAACTTAAGTCTATATTTCATCTTATCAACTTTGTAAGATATCAGAGCTCCATTTGTACCGTTTGAGCATGACTCATACATCAATGAAGCAATTGCATTTGCTCTCAAAGTTAATGAAACAGGAACAAATAACGGTGCGCAAACAAATGGAGGCTGAGAAACTTTGAATGGTCCTTTTGTGACAAGAGCATCGAATTCTTGGAAAGGTGGTAAAATGTTTGCAAACGCTCCTTGGAATTTTGTGATGAAATTCTTGGAATCAAGTCTCATTAAAACGACTTGCATCTTGCAGCATATTTCAAGGCCGCGCGATGGAGCTGTAATTGAGACCATTGTTGTGTAATTATGGCGTGCAATACAGAAAAGCCTTCCATCAATTGTAAGATATTCTTCTGTTGTTTCGCGTTGATTTGCAACAATTAATTCTGAAATCCAGAGATTAAGATCATTCATTGTGGTAAAGATGCAGCGTCCATAAACAAAGACAGAGCATGATCCAAAGATAACAGGGTCTTCGCAAGCTGCAAGGATTAGTTGGCCAGGTCCAGACTCAAGAACTCTCTTATCGGTACCGCTTAGTTGTGGTGCTCTTGGTGGTAGAGGTTGAGATAAGGTTGCTAAGACAGATTGAACTCCATTTACATTATTCATATTCTTTGAAAAGCAAATCAAAGCAGAACGAGCAAATTGAGCTGATTTGTATGATGTTTTTTCAAAAAGGGCGGACAACGTACCAGACATTCTGTTTATCATTCCAAATAAGAACGATTTTGGAAATTTGTAGTTAGTAACAATAATTAATAACTTCTTCCATATATTGTTAAATCTAAAAACAGCGCGTAATCCATTTGATTCGAGGTAATCTGGTTCTTCATTGAATAATTGTTTAAATGATCGGCGCATTGCATGAAAAGTTAAGCATATCTTTCTCATATCAGGAAATGTGGATACTTGATAGACCATTACTTCTTCGTTTTCTGATTGTAATGTATCTTTTAAAACGGCAAAATGAAATGGTTGAATTGGATCATCATGAACAAGATGTTCTAACTTTCCTTGTGATTCTGCGTACTGAACTTTTGCTAGAAAAGTTCCAATAGGAATTCCATTATTCAACATTTTATATTTTTTTCCCTTTTTAAACGTGCAGTAAAAGTGACAATTTTAAAATTTTTATTTTTATTTTTTTTTTAGATGGAAAATTTAACTCAAGATGACTTCTTAAGCGCCTTGACTCCAAATTACATTGTCAAAAAAGAAGATCAGTGCAAAATAACTCTAAGTGGAACATGGAACATTCACGATTTTTCAAAATTTGATCAAAAAGATTTTGAAGAAAATGTTATTGAGGATCCAAACTTATTCAAGATGTATATTAGGAATCATAATTACCAACATAAAGCTAAGTTTTCAATTTTTGTGGAGTCCCAAACCCAATATAATTTTAGAGTTACTTTTGCAATGAGGAGATTTGATAGCCCAAAATACTTCGAAAATATAGCAGGAGAACTTGACTTTTCAAAATTTCCTAAATATTTAATGGAATTTGATCAATATTGGCACGATCTTTACGTTAATTCGCCATGTAGACATAAGACACTAGATTACGTTCAAATCAGATATATGATATTAATACAAAAAGATGGGAAAAAGCCTGACTACACTACCATTCCGGAAATGGAATATTTATTTGATGATCCATTTGATATTTTTCCGATTTCATACTTCTCTCAGATTAGAAATAAATTGGACTTATCAAAATTAATCAATCTAGATGCAATTATACAAGATAATAATTTGAAAATAAAACATGTCAGTAAGGAACAAAAAATACATTTTACGGCAGATAATCAACTAATAGACCTTGATGATGATCGTGAAATTCCGGACTTTTTCATTTTTGATTTTTCTGGAGAATCAAGAAATGTTGATCTTAACTTCAAGTACAAGGATACAAAATACAAAAATTTAGGATTTGTTGCCAATATAAATAACCAAACGAAAATATTATTAATGAATTCTATAATTTATCCAAATATTTATTTAGTAAAGACAGAAAATGTTCTCAAATTCAACCCCAAGCCCAGTAATTTAGGATATAATTTTATGTCAAATTATGTTTTCGTTTCTTACCTGCAAAGGTCAATTTATTATAGAGATGGATTATATGACTCTAAGTCTGTACGAAAAATAGATTGTGTATATCCACAAACTGAAATTGACAATTAATTCGAATAAAATTAACACTTTTTTAATGATTCAGAATATAAAATCATCAATATGTTTTATTTTTATACAATTTATTATGGATTTTTGTCTTATTTATATTCATTCCAAAATTTGAATATTTTATTCTCTACGTTTGATCATAAATACTTTTCAAAATTATAGTTTATGGTATTTGAGTTAAAAATCTATATTCATGTCAACTCAATTTATTGTTGTATTAATCTAATTAACAAAAAAGAATTTAAAGGAAATTTCCTATAGCCGCAGTTACTCATATTGACTCATAAATATATTTCTTCTGAATCAAAACAAATCCAACTCGCTATAATAAGGAAATTTAAATTTATATGCATGACATCTTAAAGGGTTTAAACACTTAATGTTTTATTCACCAACTATTTAAAATGAAATATTTCTAATCAATATCATAAGAAAAAAAAATATTTATTCTATATTCGACAAAAAGATGACTCAGACTCTTTTAGACCAAATTTATCAAGATCTTCCCAGTCAGGCATTGGCGCGTGGAAATCAAATTCAGGAGTTTGGTAATGACAAGAATGAAGATAAACTTGGAATTCAACGCGAGGGTTCGTTTTATCTTGGCAATAATCACATGGCCAAAGTCCGAGTTTTTCTGCCTTTTTGAGAGCATCTTTCATTTCTTTAGTATAAACTTCTCTTTTTCCTCCATACATCTCATCATTAGTAATCGGATATCCTAAGTATTGAAGATGGCAACGAATCTGATGGGTTCTACCTGTAATTGGATGAGCTTCTACAATACTTTCTTTTCCATTAGTTTTGAGTAGCTTAAAAATGGTCTTACTCGGCTTTCCAGTCGGAGTAACAACTGTACGATGTAAATTGAAGTCTGTTCCTAATGGTTGATCGCATATAATCTCGCCTTTAGGGAATCGTCCGATTACACGAGCAATATAGGTTTTACTAACCTTCTCTCCAACTAAATATTGATTAAAGTTTGTTGCTGCTGCCTTATTTTTGGCGAAAACGATAATTCCTGATGTAACGCGGTCTAAACGATGAACAACATGTAAATGCGGAGGTAGACGTTTAACCATTGAGTTGTAAAAGTATCCTCCAACAGTATTTACAGTAACTGAGGCTGGCTTGAGATAAGCCACGTAATTATCTGTTTCGCCAAGTTTAAGAAGTGGTTTATTGAATACTGGTGCTTCAATTCGAGTGCATATATGTTTGATTGAATCTAAAGGACCGATTCTATAATCTACTGGTATTTTCCTTCCATTTACTATGATTTTACCATTTCTTATTTTCTCTTCATATTCTTCTCGTGATGCCACTCTAAATTCATTGGTAAAAACATCAATAAGCGGTTGACCAACCCAGCGTTCTTTTGATCCTGCTGAAAAAGTAAAATCATATGGCTTGATAAAGCGAAACGGCTCTATGATAATGACATTCGACTCATCTCTGACTTCAGTTCTTGGCGTAATTTCTTCTTTGATCTCTGAAGTGAAAACAGACATTTTGGAGTGGCAAAAATTTTCACAAATTTTGCCATTAAAATTTACATGACAAAAATATAATAACACAAAATCTTTATCATATATCAAAAAACTAAAATACGCTCAAGAAGATTTCCATCTAGAAAGACAAAAATTTCAATATTTTTGATGAGTCAGGCAAATTTTTTGTTTCAAAGTAAGCGAAAACATGTTGTTAATCATAACATAGCATAGTGCTATTCAGATGATGCAAGTTTATGGCTGATTAAAGGATATTCCAGTACCCTCATTTTACAACAAGTGATATCGCGGCATAAACATTTAATAATCTGCATATCTAACTGAAAGTATATATATATTTTATAGCAAAACGTCTGAATAATTTAGAAAAGATATTTTACTAAGAAAAAAACTGACAGAATGAGTGAGTCATTGAATTTAGACGCAATTCTCGAGTCATGCAAAAAGGGCGAGCAACTTTCCGAAGGCGTTTTCGTTGAGCTTATGCTTAAGTTAATGGAACAACTCGCAAGTGAATCAAATCTTCTCGAACTTCAATCTCCAATTATCATTTGTGGCGATGTTCACGGACAACTTTTCGATTTATTCGAGCTTTTCGATGCAGCTGGTGATCCTGCCAAGTATACATTCCTATTCATGGGAGATTACGTAGATCGCGGTTATTATTCAGTACTCACTTTCTCATACTTAGCAGCTCTCAAACTCAAATATAAGGATCATATTTGGCTCTTACGTGGCAACCACGAATGCCGTCAGGTTAACCAAATGTATGGATTTTACGCCGAATGTCAGATGCTTTTCGGTCACCCAGGCATTTGGTCACTTTGCAACGAAGTATTTGACTTACTTCCAATGGCTTCAATTATTGATAACGAAGTCTTTTCAGTTCATGGAGGAATTTCACCTGACATCGCTCTCATCGAAAAAATCAACATGATCGAACGAAATGAAGAAATACCAAACAAAGGCCCATTCTGCGACCTTACATGGAGTGACCCAGAAGAAGGTGACCAGTGGAGAAATAACTCCCGTGGCGCTGGATATATTTTCGGAGCACGCCAAGTCAAGGAATTCTGCCAGCTTAACAACCTCAAGATGATTACACGTTCCCACCAATTAGCACAAAATGGATATGAATGGTTCTTCGATAATAAACTTATCACGGTCTGGTCGGCACCTAACTATATGTATAGAACAGGTAACAAGGCAACAATTATGAAATACAACCATGGCGAGTATGAACTCGTTGAGTTCCAGCCTTGCCCTGCATCTCGCAGTAAAGTACCAGATGAACTCCCAACGTCCGGATATTTCATTTAAACATATATTTTGCTTTATACTCGTTAAATAATTTATTTTTAAGTTTCGATTTTAATTTTCAACATATTTTTTTCTTCATAACAAATCAAAAAAGCATCATATAACCAGAAACCCTCCGTAATAAAACATGTTGTCACTTCCTCATTACATAGATGATATATATAAACATATCAACGTTTATTTCATAAATGGCTTAATATTAAACAAATCATACTCTATTAAAATGAGAATTGATTCGCAATGCTAATGGATTTCGTCATTTATTTAAAAGAGTTTTAGGATTTGATATCTATTATTTTTCTGAAATCTGTTTTTGTTAAGTACTTGCGGTCAGAATCAGAAGAATGTACACAAATGTCCCCATGTAGTTACAATAATTCAAAGATATTTGAAAATGAAAATGAAATTTACGTTGTAGATCAAAAATTTTCGAATACATCGCATGTGGAAGCTTTTAATAATCTATTTCTAACAGTTTTATCCAAAAATTACACTATTATTGGCCAAAATCAAACATTAAATTTACAAAAACAACAAAATGCATCATTTATTCCTAAAGAAATTACTAATTCTAACGCAGCGATATCTAATTTTACTTTTGTTTCTGATGGTTTTCCAATCAAAACAATTTTGAATTCAAATATCACAATGAAAAATGTAACATTTTATAAAACTTCAACACCTGTGCTTAATTTAGTCAATACAAATCTTACTTTTGAAAATTGCTTGTTCAATTATATTCAGATTTCCAATAATTCAATCATATTTTCAAACAACTCAGTAATTATTTTTAAAAACACATCATTTATCAGTTTAACACAACTAATGAATTCGAATTCAACATACATCAATCTTACTTCTTCAGTTTTAAACTTAAATTCAACAAAAATTGATTCGAATTACAATATAAATCCAATATTTTATGCAAATAACAGTTCTATACTTTCTAATAATACTATTTGTTCTCTGAATGGAGGACAAAAACCTATATTTTCTTTAGAAAATTCTGGTATTGAGTTTAATCATACTATTTTCATGAGAAACAAATCCCCATTAATTGAATTAACCAATTCATCAATGAGAAGCAGAGAAATGTCTATTGAATCCAATTGTTTTTCAACGTCTTCATTAATTTTAAACAAAAGTCACTTTCAATCAATTAATTTGCATTCATTATCCAACAGATGTGGAACAATTGTAGATTCGATAGATTCTGATTTAATTTTCAAAAATTTTTCTGCGATTTCAAATATTCTTCCTGAAAATATGATAATTGCTACAAATTCGACGTTCACCATTGAGAACAGCAATTTTATAAACACGACATCCATCAAAGACTCATCATTTTCGTTCAAAAATTCTTCAATTAAAATTTCAAATTCAATTTTCAATGGAACGCATTCACGATCAAGAGGATCTGTTGTATCATTTTACAATTGCTCATCACAAATAACTAATAGTACATTCGCAGAAGGAAAAAGTCGCAGTAAAAGCGCTGCAATTAACTCTATCAACACGGAATTAAATATTTCAGAGTCAGATTTTATTCAGAACATTGCACTATCAGAAATGTCCGTTTATTCTGAGTTTTCAAAAGCATCAATAGAAAATTGCCATTTCACTGGGAAAATCAACGATGAGATTTCTGTTCCTTTGATGAACCAATGCAGAAATTGTACTTTTGATGTTAAAACTGAAGAATTTGTCGTTATTGAAGAATATCCTTATGAAGAACTGTTTACTACATTGTTGATTCTTATCTTCACAATATTTGTACTTCGTAACAAGATTTCAAGACTCGTTCATTCATTTAAATTCAAGAAATTATAAAATTCATTTATAATTTCAAATTAAGAATGATTTAATATGCTCATTTCTTCAGATCATTCTATTATATTTTCTATATGTTTGTTTTTTAATAAAATAGATTATATTATCCTTAATTTCATTAAATATATTTTTTTGTGAAAATTTAAACAAATAACAAACACTTTTATCCGATTAAATATGAGATCTAAATATCAATATCTGCTATATTTGATTTGGTTTGAAGAGATGAAGCTGTTATGTGGCTTGAAGAGCTAATATAGCTTCTTTGGCTTGGCGAAGAATGACTAGATCTTGAAGAAGTAAGCTTTATTTCCTTTTGAGGTATTGCAAATGGAGGATCCTTGAGATAATTCTGTTCATCTATGATTTTTGCTTGAGTTTCGTAATCAGCAAGACGATTTTCAATATGACTAACTCTAAGTGTTAATAAAGTGATCTTCCTTGATATTGAGTTGAGAAATGGATCTTTTTCTTCAACTGGCTTTGGATCAAATAAGTCAAATCGATTATATTTCTTTGTATGGATATGCTTCTTAGGCTTTGTGTCTGTTTCTACAGCTCTTTTCTCTGTACGATGAGGATATTTCGTTGGTGAATGCATTTTTGGCAAACTTTAACGTACAGTTCAATTTTACATTATTTTTTTACTTTCATGGCTCAGATTTCAATGGAGGAAAGACTAAATCAATTAAAGCTCAGTTGTTCAGATCCAGAAATAATAGGTGTTATTAAAGACAAAGTTTCATATAAATATGCCTGCAAATTCCAAAAAGATCCAAGCAAGATTCATTTTTACACTCATGAATATATGAAGAAAATGTACCCTTTATCTCTTGTGACATTTCTTGAGCAAAACATCGAATTTAAGTCATAATCAAACTCAATAATTTCAGGATTCTTACTTTTTTTTTGTAATATGGAGAAACTCATTTTCAAAAAGAGCTCTACATGTGATTCGATATAAGGACTCGTGTCGAATTATCATCTAATTACCAATAATGTTGATTATTTGTTTCCATTTCCATTTTCGGAAATCATTGTTACAATCTAGATTCTAGATCTAAAAGAAATGTTGCATTTTAATACGTCTACCTATTCAAATTCATTATATTAAAATATTTTTTAATTTTCAGTCAACATAAAAATCGAAAATAGAATAATAGAACATTAAACAAAATAAATTCTGGAAGTCATTACTGCTTTTGAACTGGTTTTGTTGATTCGCTCTGGAAATATCTTAATTTATCAAGATCTTCACGTGCACTCTTTATAGATTGCTGGTAGGCTTCAATATCATACTCTGATTCATCAGCACCATAGAAAACTCCAATACTATCATAAGCAACAGATAATAATTCTTGAACCTTCTTCTGAGCTTGGCGTCTCTCTTCTGTAATCTGTTGTTGAGCCTTTGATTCGACAGCCATCAATTGGGCAGCTAACTGAGCTTTGTTCTGCTGCTTCTCTTTGTTAATTGCGTTCTTGAAGTTATTTTGTTCGGTTTTGAGTGCTTTAAGAGATTGTCCGAGTTCTGTATTTTCTTTTGTGAGTTGTACATTCCTCTTTTCAACTTCAGACATATTTTCAACAAGTTTCTTTGACATTTCGCGTGCATTATCAGCTTTTTCACGAAGTGAAGCAATTGTATCTTCAAGATTCTTCTTTCCTTCCTCGTAGTGCTGAGACATCTCTTTGAGAGATTGGTCATATTGTTCTTTGAGAGTTTTCATTGAATTCTTAGCATTCTTCTTACGGCGTTGGAGTTCTTCCTCGTATTCCTCAACTTGGTTGTTAAGAGCTTCGATCTGGTTAAGATAATTTTCTTCGTTCTTCATTAATCTCTTAATTGTTGTGTTTGTATTTTCATCAACAGACTTCTTCAAGTCTTGGAGTAATAATGTAAGTTCATTGCATTCTTTTGTCTTTTGAGCAAGAGCTGCTTCAAGTTTAGCAGTTCTTTCCTTCTGATCATTTGCCTTTTCCTCAACTCCAGCACGAATTTCTTTGGCAAATTGATCTAAGGAACCACATTCATTCTTCTTAATGAGCAATTCATTGTTAGCAACTTGAAGTTTAACATTAAGAATTCCAATTTCATTTTGGAGATTATCGATTTGAAGAGTAAGTTCTGAAATCTTTGTCTTCTTCTCGTTCTCAGATTGTGCGAGTTTCATCTCGTGTGTTTGTGATTTCTTCAATTGGTTTGTCAATTTCTTGTTCATCTTTGTTGTGTGATTGACTCTAACATTAAGTGTTTCAATGAGATGAGGAACATCTGAAAGTTGTGTTCCCTTCAAAGCGCCACTCTTTGTCATATTCTCGATCAATTGAAGTGGAGCTGTAACTGCAGCGAGTTGATTCTGGAGGAAAACATTTGTAAGGAACTGTCCGGAGAAGAGAGTTAACGTTGAATCCTCTGGATGAAGTAGCTTCTTGATGGCTGCTTCACGTTGTTTAACATCATTAGCAAAGAAGAAATCTGATGAAACATACTTTGGATCTTTGATTGCTTCACGCTGAATTGTTTGTGTCATCTCTTCGATCTTATCGTTTAAGAAATCGAGGAATTGATTATTTCCTTCTGAAAGTGGGCAATTATTGATCAATTCCTGGTTGATAGCGAGTTTCTTGAGATCCTCAATTAAAGCATCGCAAATTTCACTATAAATAATTTGATCAGCTGTGAAATTGTCAAATGCTTTTTGAGACGCTTCTGCCTTCTTATTTGCAATGACAACTTGCTCGTTCAAGCTTTGAATAGCCTTTGCAGATTCATTGAAAATCAATTGGATACGTTGGAATGGTGTGTACTGTGGAAGCTGCAAGATATTTTGAGCACGAGCCTTGAGATCGCCAACATATGGTAATGTTAGATGTTCAAACTCTTGCTGTGTTGCAAATGGCTTAGCAGCGGGCTTTGCTCCAAGTCTAATGCGAGACTTTAACTGAGCATTTTCAGCTTGAAGTTGTTCGAATGAAGATTCGGCTTCAAGAAGTGATTTCTGCATAATTTGAAGAATTTCAAGTATCTTTTGGCGTTCCTCAGAAAATTCTTGGAGTTCCTCACGCTGAGAATCGATCTGTTCTTCAAGTGCAGTGATCAAGTCTTCTTTCTGTTGGAGTTCATCCTGAAGAGGCTTCAAGGAACCTTCAATATCATTGTTAAATGATTTAGCTGTTTCGATCTTGAGACGAAGTGACTCGATTTCTGAATTAATTGTAGTTCTATCATTTGAAAGCTTCTGGTTTTCAAATTCAATAGTTTCTTTGTGCTGTTCAAGTTGAGAAATCTGTTCTGTAGCTGCTGCAAGTTTTTGTGTCAATTTCTTCTTCTGATTCTTGCATTTTTGATAATCTTCTGTGATTGCTTGAAGTAACTCATCCTTTTCCTCGACTTGAGAGCGAAGTTCTTGGCGATCTTTGCGTAGTTTTGCAATGCGCTCTTCGGATTTCTCAAGATTAGCAATTGCTTCATCTCTTTGGTTTGTGAGGGAAGTAATTTCTTGAGAATACTTCTTAGAGTCATCATTAGATGTATTTGTAAGGATTTCGACTTGTTTTTCTAATTGTTCTTTTCTAGCTGAAAGATCGCCATTTTCTTTCTTGAGTTTTTGTATTTCATTTGCAACTGATTGTGATGAATTAACAGCTGAAATTGTATCTTTGAGCTGTGTTTTAACATTTTCTAATGAACTTTGGAGATTCTTTACCAAATCTTCAAGGCGTTGTTTCTCAAATGTCAAATCTCTTATTTGATTATCTTTTGCTGTTATTGTTGGATCTTCCATTTCGGTAAGATATGAGCATTCACTAAGTTCAGCGTCAGACATAACAAATTTAATAAAAAATGAACGTTTAAAAATAGAATTTTTAAACGGATACTTTGCTAAATTCACATTATGAACATTATTCACTATGTGATATTCCTTTGATTCAATTCTGCTTTGATCTTTTTATATATCTCCTTTAATTCTTGTTCTATTTTTGTTATCAGCTGATACAACACAATATATGAATCAATGTAGTATTCATAAATGATCATTTGGGTGAATCTCTTGATCAGATATGAAACAAGCAAATAATACGATAAAATCACAAAAAATGTTAATTTATCAAACAACGATAGTTTGTACGAATGTATTCATATGAATGAACAAAATCATAATAAAAATTCAAAGTTAAAAATAATAAAATTATTCCGAATATTTTTGAGAATAAGCACATGAGTGTTAAGTAACATATAAATAAAATGTTTCCTTTTGAAATTTAGTATGTTTCAAATTGTGATTCAAATTTAGATGATATTTTTGGATTTACATGTGTTATTTTATACATATAAAATTAAAAATAAACATCTGAACCTTGATGATATGATCATTGTTATATTAATGAATTCTTGATAAAAATAGAAAATCTATTTTATTATAAAAGTGTAATAAAAGTATATATACATGCACATAATATGATCATACTCAAAATATTACTTGATCATGTACGTCCATCTCTGTCTTTAGCATTGATATCTGCACCATTTGAAATAAGAATTTCTGCAGTTTCTTTACTATTATTACTGGCTGCATAATGAAGAGGGATACATCCATCTTTGTCTTTAGTATCGACATCTGCACCATTTGAAATAAGAATTTCTGCAGTTTCTTTACTATTATTACTGGCTGCATAATGAAGAGGGGTACATCCATATTCGTTTTTAGCATTGATATCTGCACCATTTGAAATAAGAATTTCTGCAGTTTCTTTACTATTATTACTGGCTGCATAATGAAGAGGGGTACATCCATATTCGTTTTTAGCATTGATATCTGCACCATTTGAAATAAGAATTTCTGCAGTTTCCTTCCTATTATTACTGGCTGCATAATGAAGAGGGGTACATCCATCTTTGTCTTTAGCATCGACATCTGCACCATTTGAAATAAGAATTTCTGCAGTTTCCTTCCTATTATTACTGGCTGCATAATGAAGAGGGATACATCCATCTTTGTCTTTAGCATTGATATCTGCACCATTTGAAATAAGAATTTCTGCAGTTTCCTTCCTATTATTACTGGCTGCATAATGAAGAGGGATACATCCATCTTTGTCTTTAGCATCGACATCTGCACCATTTGAAATAAGAATTTCTGCAGTTTCCTTCCTATTATTACTGGCTGCATAATGAAGAGGGGTACATCCATCTTTGTCTTTAGCATCGATATCTGCACCATTTGAAATAAGAATTTCTGCAGTTTCCTTCCTATTATTACTGGCTGCATAATGAAGAGGGGTACATCCATCTTTGTCTTTAGCATTGATATCTGCACCATTTGAAATAAGAATTTCTGCAGTTTCTTTACTATTATTACTGGCTGCATAATGAAGAGGGGTACATCCATATTCGTTTTTAGCATTGATATCTGCACCATTTGAAATAAAATATTCTAAAAGTGATGAAAGATGGAAATTCGGAGAACAAGCAAAACATGTGTTGATGTCATTTGTTTGATCCAAATAAACTAAAAATGATTGAAGATTATTGTATTGAGAGCACAATTCTAAATCAATTTTTTTTGTTATGTTCATTCATCAAAAATGTGATAAAATTGATTTTGTGTGATATAATTGCATATTCCATGCATTCATCATCTGGTTTTTGTACTTTCAAGCATTCATTCATAATGTCTTGATTTCCACTCAAAAACGAATATCTAAGACAAGTTGGAGTGATTTCTGATTGAAATTTCGTTCTTAAAAACTTAAAACAATCAATAGATCCATGATAACAACATAAATCAAGTAAAGAAACACCATATCCTCCTAAAAATGGATAAAAAACACTATATAATTTTTGATTTTTATCAAATCCTTCTTTTTCTGTAAAATTTATTAATGATATTTTGTCATCATCCATAATAGATCTGTGAATCGTCTTTTGTTCGTGAATATCAGATGAATAACGAGAATCTTCAAAATCGTTAAAACTTTTTTCCCCTTTTTCATTCAATACTATGTTGTATTCTTTGTAGAAAAGGTAATTAAAAACATTGCTGATTTTGTTGACCTGATTTAGATGGTATTTGTCAACAATTTGTTTGGCAATCGCTAAATATGACTTCATGTAGCGGTTGTTATAAATTGTAAGTTCGGGTATATCATTGATAATCATATCAGGCTGAATTTGATAAGAGTCAATCAGGTTTTGTTTGATTTTTTTGTATATTGCGTTTAATTTTTCTTCGTCATTTGTTTTCAGCCTGTACAAAGTATTGTAGACATCATTATATCCTGTAAAAATCTCCATCAATTTGTCATAATGAGTTTGGTTAGTTTCTCCCTTGGACATCAACCAAAAGTTATCAAACATAAGATTATTTTTGATTCAAATGTAAATTCGTAATATCAAAAGTTACTGTGTTGTCCTCTATATATATAGTCATCTCAAAATCTCAGTAGTGAGGGTCCCTCAATATAAAATGTAAACCTCTGAGTATTGAATTGGGATTTGTAAATTAGCATCCTATGTTATATTGGAAGCGCCGATAGAATTGACTGAAAAAAAGTTAAAAATTTTCATTTTACTAGATATAATATCCTTTAAATTCATTGGAAGAAAAATTGTAACATTACATGCGTAAAACAATGACCACAAAGATATCGAATATTGTTGATGAATTAAGTCCATATATAAAATGACACAATAAGAATAGAAAAGTGGAAATCAATAAGATGCATTGGCTTTCATGATTTACCGACATTTAACGCATCCTATATATATATATATATGCCCACTTATGAGCTATTAAAACCCCATTGATACAATATCTATTGATAATATTTAGAAGTCTTAATTCATTCCAAAGCGGGAGTTGACTCTTTTTTCCCAAGTTTAGAGAGAGTTTTATGATGTTGTGATAGATTTTTTTTCTTGACAACTTTACATGGCATATCAATCAATGTTTCGAAATTTCTGACGACAGATGACAAAAATGATTAATTTCTTCTCCAGAGCCCTATCCAAGATTTTGGACAGATTCGATAATGACGAACTTGATGAAGCCTTCAAATCATTTATATCAGGAAACGAAATTTCTCAAACAAAAGCAATGAATAAAATTATCCCCATTTCTTTTGACGCCAATGACTTATCATTCCTTGGATTCCAAGTAACAATGCTTCTTTCATGTCAGAGTATAGAAGCTCGCCAAGTAGGATTTCGTGCCGCCTCTTTATTTCTTCAACCATCTTCACCTTATGTCGAAATGATGCCAGCTATATTCCGCAAAGCAATAAGAACTGATGAATTAATCATACCGGCTTTGAAATCAATGTCTTTCTATATTAATCCTTTCGTATTCCATTCAATTGAAACAGAATTATATACTATTATAGAATCATCGAGTGATGTCGGTAGAAAATATGCTCTAACTATAATGTTTAAAGCATATTTAAACGATTCTTCAATTATTCCGAAATTAATTCAATATATAAGAGGTGCGATATTCCAACCATCACTGAAATACACAGCCTTAGCAATCTTATGCGAAATGGCTCAAAGAAATCCATTAGAAGTCGGTTCTTTATTTAATATGCTTGTTTCTGAAATTCCGATAGCAACTCCTGCAGCTTTTACTAAGATTTCGAGAATACTTAAGGCTCTACTTCAATTGAATGCTTCATTAGCTATAGATTTAGAAAAACCTTTATCTCAATTTATTACAAGACAATCAGATCCTATTTCATTAACAGATGCTGCTGTAGTACTCTCTCAGGTTCAACTTAGCCCTACGATCTACGCTCAACTTGGAACAAAACTACAAAATATCATTGCTGTTGATACTAATCCGAATATAACTGCATGTGTATTATCAGCGCTTAAAATGATGTCTCGGCGGTTTAAACCATCGGCTTCTATCATTTCTCCAAGTATTGATTCAGTAGATTCTTCTATTAGAGGTCCTGCGATTGCCATTCGAGCCATTTCAGCTAAGGATCAAAGATCTTCTGGTGAACTATATAGATTTATTACAGAAACGAAGGATATTGCTTCTGTTTCAGAACTTTTACAAATTTCCAGAAACGATGGTCCGATTTTCGTTTCAATTATATCGGGATTGTACGATTTAGCCATACCTGGAACTCTTCCACTGATTGCTGATGCAATTAAATCGATTTCTGATTCAAATACTCAAAAATTATTCCTCAAAGAAATCTCGGAAACCATTTTTGAGCCTCCAGATGACATCGTTGGACTTGCTATTGCATCAGCAATTAGCGAATGGTCGACAGATCCCGAAGATATCAGAGTATTAATTCCTCCCCTCATTGCAACGAAGTCAGAACTATACCAGGCATCAATGATAACTTATGCCACATCGTTCTGGCTACGTTTGCAGTTCGAAATTGAAACAGGAATTGTTAATAGACTGGCTGTGCTGACACAATCAAGTTTCCATGAAGTAAGAAGTGCGGCATCTCTATTTTTGGACTTGATTAATTCTATACCAATTGAAAGTGATGATTCATGAAAAATAATCGAAAAAGATATTATTTTTTTCGATTAATAGACATATACTATGATATCAATAGTTGGATCTAACGTATTCAACTATTTTTGTATATTGTTTAATACAGTGTAGTGTAAATTCTAAATAATTTTTCTTATTTAAAAATAAATCTCCTCTTTTTCTATATAAATATTTTATATATGATATATAAAATATCATAATATCATAAATATCATTATTCTCATTTTTAAAAAGTGCCAATAAAGCGAGGTAGAAAAGTGCCAAATATTGTGATATAGGATATTTGGAGAAAGTTGCTAGCATATCCGTTTTTTTCGCAAAGCGACATAAGGTGGTCGTTTCTGGTTGATAAACCCAAAATCTGGGAAAATCCAGTGGGCTAGCGCTAGCCCTTCGGGCGCGTCGCCGCCTCCGGCCATGAACATCACAAAGTTAATGTCGCCATTTATGAAATATGCCCTATATTATTTTTCCTTTTTCTTTCCTTTCCTCCTTTTTCCTTTTATTTTCTCCTTCTCTTTCTGTTTTTTCTTTATTCATTGATTTCCTCTTGGTATTTCGAAATTTTATTCAAATAATTTAATAACTTTATAAACCAATTAGTTTAATAGTTTATACATTATCTACCAATTTTACACTTCAAATATTACAGTTTTTTAAAGTGGATCAAAATTCATTTTATTAAGATATTAAAGTTTTGGAATCAGTATTATTTTGAAAAAGCACCTAAGTTATTTAATTAAAATGGTATTATTCAAATATTGAAATTTAAATATAATTTTATTTGCTCAATTTTTTAAATCTGTAAGTACAGTTTTGTTTGAAGTAACAAAAAATGATATATGCAGTTAGCGAAGTAAATTTACTAATAATAAAAATAGTTTGCTCTAATTCAATTAATTTAAACCTTTGGTAATGATAGAACATGCATAATATTTAAAATATGGATGAAATTCTTTGTATAAAGGTAAGTTGATGAGTTTTTTTCGAATCTGGGTTTAAAATATCTGAAGGTAAACAATTGATCTTAAGTGTTTATGCTGTATACCAAGAATTACATTAGATTCATTGTTGACTATTTGTTCAAATCTTTCCCATTCAATCACAGGATACTGAATCTGATGGAAAATCATTATTACTGTGAAATTCGCATTGATATCATATGATGATCCATTGCCCGAGAAGTTCGGTGTATCCCAAGTATATGAGGAACACGTATGTTTTTCCCCAGATTTTGGATGAGGTATTGTGAAAATTGAGAACTTTTGTAAAGAAATTGAGAGATTTTGTAAAAAAATTGAGAGGAAAATCTGGTGAAAGAATCTCAGATGTGGTGATACCAGAAGGTATGGGAATTGGATGAATACAGGATAGTATGCTCCTATATGAATAGTAGAAACATAATCCATTATCAAATCATCTGGGAAACAACTTTTTCTTCTCCAAAAATATTTTGAAAATGAAAAAATGAAAAAAAATTTATTACCATAAAAACCAGATTTTATTACCTCGGGGAACGTTCCTTAATATATCATTGATTTATTACATTCTTATACTCATCATTATATATAAAATAATTGAATTTCATAATTTTTCATCAATTGAGCCAGACGAAAGCATGGGTGGAAGATACATTCAAAATTTGGAGCCATTCGGGTTGTGTCAGAGGTAATCAGTATAATCTCTTAGACGAAAATCGCAAATCATGTCACTTTTCCTTTCAAATGAACGATCAATTGGGAATTCCTTCTTGCAAAGTAATTTTGCTCGGAAATACTTGCGTTGGTAAGACCTCTATTGTACTACAGTTCTATAAAGCATTGTTTCAAGAGCAAGGGCAGCCTACAATTGGCGCTGCTTATTTTTCAAAGATCATTGACACACCAAAAGGAAAATTAAACATGAATGTTTGGGATTCCGCAGGACAAGAAAGGTTTAGGAGCATAATTCCGATGTATTTACGTGGTGCTTCAGGAGTTATATTCGTGTGTTCCCCAGATAATGTAGAAAGTATAAAAGACTTAAATGTTTGGAAGAACTTACTCGATAAGAATCAAGAAAACAAAATTTTCGGATATATTGTCATGAACAAATGTGACTTAAACATTTCCGACAGTAAAACTTTAGCAGAAGCATTTGCAAAAGAGAACCATTACCAGTTCTTTGAAACTTCTGCCAAACTAAACATCAATATTACTGAATTATTCAACAAAATTGCAGCAGATATTTCAAATGAAATTATTTTCGAATCTGTTCGTTCGGATGAATCCCAAATTAGAGTTAAGAATGATAATAGTAGTGGATGCTGTTAATTTCCAAAAAAATATTTGTTTATTTCTCATAGAGTTGTTCTTTATTTAAAAATATAACTTATCCTGTATTGTATGACTCGTTGAAGTCATTAAACCCATGTTACTATATTAGTTTCTCAAAAATAAAATTTAATAAAATTCCATTTTTAGCATTGATGTTTTTTTTGGATTTCCTTTATGCAGAGCATAGCTAACATATGAATTAATTTGCTTGAAATAGCTCCCAACAAAAAATGATTACGACTTGGGGAATTTCGGTTCCGATCGTTGGATTGTTGATACAAAGTATTGCTATTTCATTTATATGTATGTTATCTGATGGATTTTTATAAAAATAGATAGTGATTTATAAAATTTGATCGATCATCCATTGATCAAGACTCTGAAGATATAAATGAAACGGAAATCTATGAAGATAAAACAAAAAATCAAATAAGGAATTATGGACTTTTTTTTAAATATAAGATGTATCTGAACATAAACGCTTTACTCATCGTAACATGTATGAGGGCATATAGAAATTTGAAAGGCGTAAAGGAATGACTATATAAATTTTCCAAAGATTATTTTAATCAGTTTTAAGATGCATGGATGCGAACAAACTGAATCAGTGCATCATCCTGGATGAGTAATGAACTATGAATATATTCAGCCACCCCCAAAAGCCAATATTTAGGATATTTGAACTCCTGATAATAATCGGAACGATCACTTTATCAGAATTTAAAAGATTTCAATTTTCTGAATGAGCACGAATAAAAATGAAGCCTTCCACATACTTAAATAATTGGCTATAATTTCACAGAATTTAAGATGGAGCATTCAAAAATCTGGATTTTATTCTTACGACTTAAATTTTATTAATTACATATGGGAAAGTTTTGTTAATTAAAATAAAGTGGAGCAATCTCAATATGATCGGGGTTCTCAGAATTTTGAGATAGAAAGATCGTTAAAAAATTCTCAAATTCTTATGAAGCTTCCTCCTACATATCTATTAGTAGCCATCATTGCTGCTATTCCAAATTTATGGATTTGCATTGCCAAGTATGCATTCGAGCCAGCTTCGAAGATAATTTTCCTGGATTACTTTAATTTGATTATTTTATTATTTAGACAAATTTGCGAGTACGCATTCATTGCATGCATTCATTATTGGATTTACCGTTATATGGTCAACAACAAGAAACTTACAAAGCTATTGGTTTTTGTTAATTTATTATTTTATGGAGTTTATTTTGAAATCTTTGGTTTCGCACTTTACGATTATGAGTTCTCAAGAAACAATTTTCAAATTGTACTCCCTTCGATTTATTACACTTACCTAGGTCGTTACGGACTCGAAAAATCATCCAAATTTGTTACTCCCCTTTATGAGATTCCAAATTCAGAAGACACGCATGCTACATCAAATTCTATTATATCCGATACCATTAAAGATAATCCTCCATTTTGGATTACAACATTAGTACTAATTTTAATATGGTTCATCTATCAAGCATATTTTCTTATACGGTATAGATGGTTAACATTAAATCCGTCAAACTACTTCATTATGGACATGTTCAAATCAATAGACTTTATGTCCGACTCAGATTTCGAATTCAGAGCTGGTGGTACTAAAATACAGCAAGATTTACGTATGCCATATATACTTCATATATTAGCTGTATTACATATCATATTTTCAATTGAATATCTCTTGATTCCTCAGGATTTCAAAACGCAGAAATATGTTTATCTTCCGTATTTAGATACAATGATACTTGCTTTAACACATTTCGAGAAATCCCTTACTAAATCTACGAAAAAACAGTTCCTTAACTATACAAGATCTTATTTGCCACCTGGACGACGCTGGATCGATACTAGAGATGATCCTGTATATCCTGCTGTTCATGGAGATATGAAAGCTTTCTGTGCATATAACAAAAACCATCCTGATTGTCAAGATTTAAATTCAATCAAGAATACAAAACAGAAAATCGTTGAAAAACTACCAAATGTTGTCTTTTTAGTATACGAGAGTATGACTCCGTCATACTATATGCTCAATAAAGACTATATTACTGAGCATGCGCATATTTCCAAAAATGATCCGAAAAAAGTCTTAACAAAGACTCCATACTTTACTGATGGCATTGCTCCCAATCTTAACAAGTTCTCCAAGTACGCAATTACCTTCAGCGGCATTTCATCTTTAGGAATTCCGACATCATCTGGTTGGCATGCATTATTGACCGGTCTTTACCCTTCTCAGTCGTTTACTAATATTGTAGAAGGTGGACTTCTTCATAGTGATGATCTTCCTTCGATGATGCGTCAGTATGGATACAGATCTTTCTATGTTGGTGCTTCTCTTTTCTCATTTGATGGTTCCGATATATGGATATATCGCAGACCAGCTGAAGAAGAAGCTAAAGCACGTCTGAAATGTCTTGATGGCTTTGGAGATCTTTATAACGAAACATCAATGAGACAAATGATTCCAGAATCTAAATATCCAAAGCTTAGACAGTGTAGTGAAGAAGAAGTAAATAGTCTCACTAAAGAACTTAAGAAGAAGAGACTTGATTTTCCAAAGATGTTTGATTATTCTTTCTCTTATCAGCCAGGAAGCCAAAATTGCGAACATCTAGGCATAAAACCAGATGAAATCAATAAGAAAATACATTGGCCAGGAGACAGGTTAACAGCAGCTGAAGTTATTTATCATTGGAAACAAAACAAAGAATACATGAGAAAGAATAATATTGATAAACCAATATTTGCTGGACATTTATCAATTGAAGGACATATTCCTTATAAAGACTGGGATCTTCCTCAATTCTATGATAGTGTCGACAAATATAAGTCAATGTTTGCAAATTATTCGTCAAGAGAACAATTTCGTGGTTTGTCTTATCTAAAAGTTACAAAAATAGCTGATAAATATCAAATAGGAGAAATCCTTTCTTGGCTCAAAGAAAATGATCCAAATACAATTTTCGTTGTAACAGGAGATCATGGAACACGTGATATTCCTATTCATGATGCTGGATCTCCTGTTTATGATGATGTTGTCTTCAAGAAAGATTGTGTTCATAGATCAAGTGGAACAGATTCTTTCTTCGTAACAAGCGGAATGATTGGATATTTAGGTAATGATGAACGAATTAAGAAAGCAATGAAACTCGATAAATTTGCAGGTCAAACACTGAAAATTGCTGCAGATCATAATGATTTGGTTTATACTTTAGAAGAATTGTTGAATGACTTGAATGGTACTGACATGCAACCAACACATAGAAGATCAAGAAATTTGATCAAAATGACAGATGAAATCAACACAATTCTCGAAGAAAAGAAATCAGCAAAACCTGTTTATAAAATGCTTGATGAACAAGGATGGAAGTCTTTCTCTCTTGTTTCTTATAATGGTGAATACAGAGAAGGATCTACACTGTTAAGAACTCATCCTTCTCAACCTGATGAAGCTCACATTTATCACGGAGCTTCTTATCCTCAATGTCTTCGTTTGAAGGATGAAAAAGATGATTTAGTTGGTACAAAAGATGCTTTAAATATGTTCCAGAGAATGGGAAAGATGGTGTCTATTGAAACATACTTAAATTATCATAATAGAGTATATAACTTTGCTTTTAGAGATAATCAATGCATAGAGAAAGGTGATTGCAAGATGCCAGAACCACAACCACTCAAATTTATTAATATTTTCATACTCGCCCTTATTATTCCACCGGTTCTTATATCATTATTTGGTACATTAATAGGAGCAATTTTGTCAATAATATACACATTAGTTGAGTTAAGAAGAGCAAAGAAGATGAGTGATGAAGCAATTATTCTTGAAGAAGAAGTATAAAATTGTCAATTAATATATAATAAAACTTAGATTTTTTGTGTTTAATCATCAGATATTTTTTAAGTATTGAGCTAATAACAAAAATGTCTATTTATTAAATAAAGTTTTTTCTCATTTTCTTTATATATTTTCAAAAAAATGCCAAAAAAAAATTGGCATATTCGAAATTAAAATTCGAACGGAATATACTAGCATCAAATAATATACCTCTTATCAGAGATGCATGGTCTTAATTATCATTTCTTTATATTAATCAGAAAGCAATTATCTGTGAAATAGAAAAAATGAGTTAAGACTAACTTATTTAACATAGATAATTGCATGATATTACGTAAATGGAAGTGTGTCAGTATCAGATAAATCAAATTGAGAAGGATTTTAAAAAAAAAATCAAAAATTTCAATGTGAAATCCAGATATTTAGTTTGAACAAAAATAACAGATAAAAGTTAGAAATAAATTTATCACTTTTTATTAAATTTCATATCAATTGTAAATCAAAACTTCAAAAATGTGAATATTTAACACTCTGGTTGTATGGATGCTATGAAATCTTTACAAATAATAGGTTCATCATATTGAATTTGATTTGAAGAAGACAGAATACGAGTATAAATTTTTGCAAAAAAAATTGACAGAATATAACATATTAAATTTACATTCTATAATGGTTCCTCACTCATTATTTATAAAATTTCAAATAATGACTTTGAGAGAGTTTTGTTATAGACCGAAAATAGATTTTTTCGGTTTTCTCTTCAAATAATTGAAAGAATGATACTATTATAGGTTTATTATATTATATAGCATATAATCATGCTATAGCCGAAAATTATAAGTTTTGAGAAGATTGAATATAACACAAATAAATTTGAATGTAAGTTAAATTGCTTGTTGTTTTTAATAGCTATTTAATGAGAAATCCAATATTGCAAAATTCAAATTGAATGATTGAAAGAACAGAAAAAGTCATTCTTTTCAATTTCGAATATGTTTCATTGTATTTATAATTATATGGCAAATAAGATATTTAAACTTGATTTTTGAAGGAAAATTCACAAAATTGAATGTATTCAAATAATTTTTATTCAAAAATAAACCAGTTATTTGAGTTTAATACTAATTATCTATTCAAACTACAAAGTTTGTAATTTAAAATATTTTGTGAGATCAGATTGAATTAATTCAAGGTTCTTTTCAATTAATATTCATGACCATATTACGCATTTTCGAACATTCTAAACCAAATATATAAAAATGGGAGACGAATGTTAAATTTGCTAGACATGGGGGAGTTGTCTGCAAAGTTTTAGCTCTTATCTCTAACAAAAAATTAATTTTTAAAAAAATGACCGAATACGTTTCACAGCGAGAAAAAAATAAAAGGCAAGATAGAATTTTCTAGACATAAAGAAGTTGTTTACCGAGTTTTAGCTCTTATCTCTAACAAAAAATTAATTTTTAAAAAAAAGACCGAATACGTTTCACAGCGAGAAAAAAATAAAAGGCAAGATAGAATTTTCTAGACATAAAGAAGTTGTTTACCGAGTTTTAGCTCTTATCTCTAACAAAAAATTAATTTTTAAAAAAAAGACCGAATACGTTTCACAGCGAGAAAAAAATAAAAGGCAAGATAGAATTTTCTAGACATAAAGAAGTTGTTTACCGAGTTTTAGCTCTTATCTCTAACAAAAAATTAATTTTTAAAAAAATGACCGAATACGTTTCACAGCGAGAAAAAAATAAAAGGCAAGATAGAATTTTCTAGACATAAAGAAGTTGTTTACCGAGTTTTAGCTCTTATCTCTAACAAAAAATTAATTTTTAAAAAAAAGACCGAATACGTTTCACAGCGAGAAAAAAATAAAAGGCAAGATAGAATTTTCTAGACATAAAGAAGTTGTTTACCGAGTTTTAGCTCTTATCTCTAACAAAAAATTAATTTTTAAAAAAAAGACCGAATACGTTTCACAGCGAGAAAAAAATAAAAGGCAAGATAGAATTTTCTAGACATAAAGAAGTTGTTTACCGAGTTTTAGCTCTTATCTCTAACAAAAAATTAATTTTTAAAAAAAAAGACCGAATACGTTTCACAGCGAGAAAAAAATAAAAGGCAAGATAGAATTTTCTAGACATAAAGAAGTTGTTTACCGAGTTTTAGCTCTTATCTCTAACAAAAAATTAATTTTTAAAAAAAAGACCGAATACGTTTCACAGCGAGAAAAAAATAAAAGGCAAGATAGAATTTTCTAGACATAAAGAAGTTGTTTACCGAGTTTTAGCTCTTATCTCTAACAAAAAATTAATTTTTAAAAAAAAGACCGAATACGTTTCACAGCGAGAAAAAAATAAAAGGCAAGATAGAATTTTCTAGACATAAAGAAGTTGTTTACCGAGTTTTAGCTCTTATCTCTAACAAAAAATTAATTTTTAAAAAAAAGACCGAATACGTTTCACAGCGAGAAAAAAATAAAAGGCAAGATAGAATTTTCTAGACATAAAGAAGTTGTTTACCGAGTTTTAGCTCTTATCTCTAACAAAAAATTAATTTTTAAAAAAAAGACCGAATACGTTTCACAGCGAGAAAAAAATAAAAGGCAAGATAGAATTTTCTAGACATAAAGAAGTTGTTTACCGAGTTTTAGCTCTTATCTCTAACAAAAAATTAATTTTTAAAAAAAAGACCGAATACGTTTCACAGCGAGAAAAAAATAAAAGGCAAGATAGAATTTTCTAGACATAAAGAAGTTGTTTACCGAGTTTTAGCTCTTATCTCTAACAAAAAATTAATTTTTAAAAAAAAGACCGAATACGTTTCACAGCGAGAAAAAAATAAAAGGCAAGATAGAATTTTCTAGACATAAAGAAGTTGTTTACCGAGTTTTAGCTCTTATCTCTAACAAAAAATTAATTTTTAAAAAAAAGACCGAATACGTTTCACAGCGAGAAAAAAATAAAAGGCAAGATAGAATTTTCTAGACATAAAGAAGTTGTTTACCGAGTTTTAGCTCTTATCTCTAACAAAAAATTAATTTTTAAAAAAAAGACCGAATACGTTTCACAGCGAGAAAAAAATAAAAGGCAAGATAGAATTTTCTAGACATAAAGAAGTTGTTTACCGAGTTTTAGCTCTTATCTCTAACAAAAAATTAATTTTTAAAAAAATGACCGAATACGTTTCACAGCGAGAAAAAAATAAAAGGCAAGATAGAATTTTCTAGACATAAAGAAGTTGTTTACCGAGTTTTAGCTCTTATCTCTAACAAAAAATTAATTTTTAAAAAAATGACCGAATACGTTTCACAGCGAGAAAAAAATAAAAGGCAAGATAGAATTTTCTAGACATAAAGAAGTTGTTTACCGAGTTTTAGCTCTTATCTCTAACAAAAAATTAATTTTTAAAAAAAAGACCGAATACGTTTCACAGCGAGAAAAAAATAAAAGGCAAGATAGAATTTTCTAGACATAAAGAAGTTGTTTACCGAGTTTTAGCTCTTATCTCTAACAAAAAATTAATTTTTAAAAAAATGACCGAATACGTTTCACAGCGAGAAAAAAATAAAAGGCAAGATAGAATTTTCTAGACATAAAGAAGTTGTTTACCGAGTTTTAGCTCTTATCTCTAACAAAAAATTAATTTTTAAAAAAAGACCGAATACGTTTCACAGCGAGAAAAAAATAAAAGGCAAGATAGAATTTTCTAGACATAAAGAAGTTGTTTACCGAGTTTTAGCTCTTATCTCTAACAAAAAATTAATTTTTTAAAAAAATGACCGAATACGTTTCACAGCGAGAAAAAAATAAAAGGCAAGATAGAATTTTCTAGACATAAAGAAGTTGTTTACCGAGTTTTAGCTCTTATCTCTAACAAAAAATTAATTTTTAAAAAAAAGACCGAATACGTTTCACAGCGAGAAAAAAATAAAAGGCAAGATAGAATTTTCTAGACATAAAGAAGTTGTTTACCGAGTTTTAGCTCTTATCTCTAACAAAAAATTAATTTTTAAAAAAAAGACCGAATACGTTTCACAGCGAGAAAAAAATAAAAGGCAAGATAGAATTTTCTAGACATAAAGAAGTTGTTTACCGAGTTTTAGCTCTTATCTCTAACAAAAATAATTTTTAAAAAAAAGACCGAATACGTTTCACAGCGAGAAAAAAATAAAAGGCAAGATAGAATTTTCTAGACATAAAGAAGTTGTTTACCGAGTTTTAGCTCTTATCTCTAACAAAAAATTAATTTTTAAAAAAAAGACCGAATACGTTTCACAGCGAGAAAAAAATAAAAGGCAAGATAGAATTTTCTAGACATAAAGAAGTTGTTTACCGAGTTTTAGCTCTTATCTCTAACAAAAAATTAATTTTTAAAAAAATGACCGAATACGTTTCACAGCGAGAAAAAAATAAAAGGCAAGATAGAATTTTCTAGACATAAAGAAGTTGTTTACCGAGTTTTAGCTCTTATCTCTAACAAAAAATTAATTTTTAAAAAAATGACCGAATACGTTTCACAGCGAGAAAAAAATAAAAGGCAAGATAGAATTTTCTAGACATAAAGAAGTTGTTTACCGAGTTTTAGCTCTTATCTCTAACAAAAAATTAATTTTTTAAAAAAAATGACCGAATACGTTTCACAGCGAGAAAAAAATAAAAGGCAAGATAGAATTTTCTAGACATAAAGAAGTTGTTTACCGAGTTTTAGCTCTTATCTCTAACAAAAAATTAATTTTTAAAAAAATGACCGAATACGTTTCACAGCGAGAAAAAAATAAAAGGCAAGATAGAATTTCTAGACATAAAGAAGTTGTTTACCGAGTTTTAGCTCTTATCTCTAACAAAAAATTAATTTTTAAAAAAATGACCGAATACGTTTCACAGCGAGAAAAAAATAAAAGGCAAGATAGAATTTTCTAGACATAAAGAAGTTGTTTACCGAGTTTTAGCTCTTATCTCTAACAAAAAATTAATTTTTAAAAAAATGACCGAATACGTTTCACAGCG